GCTTGGGAGCAGTCACTCTGCTCACAGCCCATTCGCTCAGTGACCACGTGTGAAGTGCTGCAGAACTAGCTGCCTGAAATGTGGGTGGGGGTCATGCAACTGGAAGTCTGATTTTCAGAGTTGTTTCTTTTTTTTTTTTAATAAATTTATTTATTGAATCCGAGTTCGATTCCTCTGCCCCTCTCGGAGAGCCCGGAAAGCTACTGAGAGTATCTCGCCCGCATGGCAAAGCCTGGCAAGCTCCCTGTGACGTATTCGATATGCCAAACACAGTAACAATAAGCCTCATGATGGAGATGTTACTGGGCCCGCTCGAGTAAATCGATGAATAATGGAAGGACCATGACTGTGATTTATTGAATCACTGTGAGAACAGTTAGAAAGCTTTTGGGTTTAAGTCTCGGTCATAAAACCCCAGTATGCCCCCCATCCGACACCTCCCTCTCTACCTGTGTGGCAGATGATTTCCACATTACACTCCATGTTGATTGCATTTAATATTTCGACACCAGAGCCACCATTATTATTTGAGATTTTACCCCAACACTCAGATCTGCCGAAAAGGCAACATTAGACGATTTGTTTTCTATTGCTGATTATGAGTAGGATATGATGTCGTGTGGTACTGCGGCCATGCAATTTTTGGAATTCTGAAATCTGAATCATTAAATCTGGAGGGATTTCCGCCAAAAGCCCCTGGGTTCCAAGATTTGTTTCTGAATCTCTGGATCATGGCTTAAGCAGCTTGTTGAGTCGGCAGAGAGCCGGCCCGTTCATGGGCAGCTACTTAGGGTCTCTTTGGGGTGGGTCAAAGTTTGTTTAGAAATACATTTCATGATTTCCTGCTTGTGAATGTCGACTTCTCCACCCGTTTCATACACCCTCATGCCCAGGGTTGTTTACAGAAGAAATGGGTGGCAAGTAGGAAGGCTAAGAAGCCCCTGTCTCCTCTGGGGCCGGGGGTGCGAGGGAGTGGAGCACGCCGTGTTTGCACGAGATGCAGCTGAAGCCGTTTTAAGTGTGGGAGGGACTCCCGTATTAATGAAATGAAACTTGCCGGTAGGTTTTGATCCTTTGCTGTGCAGGGGTAGAACCCAGGGCACAGCTGAGGCGTGTGCGGCTCTGCCTCTGAGCCCACCCGCCTCCGGCTCTCCTGTCCTGGAGACGCAGTTGGATGCCAGCCTGCCAGCGTGAAGGCTTGTGCTCTGCCAGGCCCTTGAGCCTCAAGTGTAGTGCTTGATTTGCTCTGAGTAGTGGTCAAGCTTTAATAGGACACGTTCAAGATCTCCAGGGTTCAGACAAACATTCTGAGAACTTTCCTGGAGTTCGTTATGTGGCCGCAGAGAAGGAAGTTGGTCTTTGGGGGCAGCTTGTTGGAGAATGAGAATCGTGGTGAAAAGTTTGCTGGCAGTCGGTTTTAGCATCAGAAAGGGGTTGAGGGTGATTCCCCCCCCTCCCTTTTTTTTTTTTGGTGAGTTATTGCATATAAATGCTACAGCATCCGCTTTCTTAGAATAGGAGTGGTTTGTAGTGACTAAAGGGTCCCTCAGGCCTGGTTCCTCCCTGTCAGAGAGCCAGCCGGCCTGGACTCCCACCCTGTGGGCTTGGCTCTGGCCCCTTTTGTCCTGACCCCCAGGCGTGGGCACTGAGCGTTGGGCCAGGTTGGTTCCGAGCTCAGCAGCACACTCCTAGCTGGAGGCTCTGTTGGGGAATGGAGGGTGGACGCCTAGCTGGACTGTTCATGGGAACACAGGGAGGGACGCCCAGCTGTCGCTCTGTCCTGGGGAAGGCATCACAGACTCCTAATATAAAGGGGAGACTGAAAGGGAGGAACAAAAGTTTAGTTTTTCAGGAGTTTATTTTTTAGCCAGTTTAACTCTTGTTTCATAAGTCCACTGAACTTAGCTCAAGGCCTGAAAGGCCGTCACGGATTGCAAAAAGAAACAGTGGGCTGGAGTCCTAAACGGGGTTTGGTTGACGGCGGCTGATGGTTTGCTTCATGCACTCCTGCTGAAAGCGCTTTTCTGTAACAACGCTGGCTTTGCTGCGCTCGCGTGAACTTCGCAATGTGAACGTGAACGTGAATTTGTGGGACTCAAACAAATCATGAAAATGCTTACGAAAGTGCTCGGGCACCAGGATGAGGTTTTTCCTAATGAAAGGCCAATGCTTCTGCTGTGAGGCCGCTGCTCTGCCTCGCTGGACAGCCCACGCTCTGGCGTCAATGCAGACGCCTCCACAGCCTGAGTTGTGGTCTCTGGTGGTCTTCTGATGGTGGCCCCACAGCATTGAGCTGCGGTGTTTTCAGGGAATGTAGGGTGGTCCCTAGCTGCTCTGTTCTCAGGGAATGTCGGGTGGACGTTCAGCCACACTCTTCTCAGAAACTCAGGAACGGACGCCTAGTTGGACGCTCCGTTCTCGAGGAACGCAGGGATCGACTCATCGCTGGACTGTGCTGGGGGACTGTGGGAATGGACGTGTGGCTGGACGCTCCGTTCTCGGGCGCGCAGGGAGGGACGCCTAGCTGGACTGGCGGAGTGGTGTTCTGTGCCTGGACCCACTGGGCCTCGCTGTGCTGCCGCGTCCTCCGGGAGCCGCTTTCCTGCTCCCTGCGTCCCGCAGGCCCCACAGTCACAGCCTTCCTCTTCCGCCTAAGCCCCCTGAAGCGTGGCCCCTTAGCCGCCGCCGCCTCCTGAGCCCCTTCTTTCTCGCGCCTCGGCCGCCTCTGTTGCTGCTCAGACCCTGTGGCATGAGCTTTCCCACTGGCCGCTCTGGCCTTCCTCGGTGGAATCCTCCTCCTCCTCCCTGGGGTCCTGCCTGGCCGTCCCGGCTGTGGGGTGAGCAGTGGGCACAAGGCCTCTCCCAGGTGCCCGCCTGGCCCCTGCCCGCCCCTGTGCCCTGAGAGACAAAGGGACTCTGGCCCCTTCCCCAGGCGTCTTGGCGCCCCCGTCCGCCCACCGGCTTCCCCGTTGCAGGGGCCTTCTGCTCCATCCCTGTGTCTGGGAACACGGTGGCTCGGAGATCCCGTCCGTGATGATCCGGCCAGTTAGTGTGCTGGTAAGGGCGCTTCATGGCCACCCTCCACTCGGCCGGGCAGGGCCCCTCGCGGGCAGTGTGTCCTGAAGTGGAGTGAGGATTTTCTTGATTTTTGACATACTGATTTTGGGCCACCCATGGCATTGCTCAGGGCTTCTTCCTCCTTGACTCTGTCAGTGGTGCTCAGGGGGTCGGCCGTATGGGCGCTGGGGATTGGACTCGGCTGACCTGTGTGCAAGGCAAGAGTCTGCCCCAAGCTCTTTCTGACCCATTATTTGGTCCTGTCTCCGAGACAGACCAGCCCGCAGGCCTCGCAGCAGGGGCTCCCCGGCTTGGGCTCTGCTGCTTCAGGGACACGGCTTGTCTCAGGGAAGCGAGGCAGCTTCCACACATTCGCCTGGGTGTCCGCCTCTGCCTTTTCACCTGGCGCTAGCTGGCGCTCACTCTCCCTTTCTGGTGGTTAGATACTTTGTTTCCTTTCTGGCGGTTAGATACTTTGTTTCCTGAGCCCTCCCTCACCTGGTTGGTTATTCCCGGTGCAATTTTTTTTAATCATTTCTTTAATATTTTTCTGAAATGTCTCAGCTCCGTTTCCTGTGTGGTGGGTACTGATAGGGACTGTGCCCGGCAGTATGCGGGGGGATTTTCTGGACCTGGAAGTCTTCCTGGTGCCAGTGCCAGGTTCTCAGGGACTAGCGCTCCCTGCCCCGCCCGCCCCTTATCTCTCTCTGACTGCTGAGGTTCTCCAGGCCTTGGGCCTTCCGTCTTTTCTGTGCGTCTTTTATGTGGAGGACTCCTTTCAGCACTCTGTTTTCCTTTTGGATCCCTCCCCAGAGTCCCTGCAGCGTCTCTGGTGCCCTCTGCAGGTCTCGGCAGGTCTGTGGTGCCCAGCAGTAGCTCATGGGGAGCTGGAAGGCCGGACATTGCTCTGTCATCCTGGGGAGGCAGGACTCGGCCTGGCGTCCTGACCCGTCCCTCTCATTCTAAGGCAGGGTGGGCTGGGAAGTGACCCCTTCTCTCCCAGAGCCCGTAACTCCATGGCCTCCTCTCCCTCCCTCCCCTCTGCCTGCAGCCAAGGGTTGCCTTCAGGGTGGGCAGACTTACCGGGCCCCCGTCTTGAATCTGGCCCCACGGAAACCGAGTTGGAGCAACAGCGTTTGGAACGTGGCCGGTTGAGTTGCGTTTGTGAGCTGTCTGTGCTCAGTGTTGGGGCTGGGAACTGGGCAGCAGGTCGCCTGCTTGGGCTTGGGGAGGACCCAGTGTTGGTGACTTGGCTAAGGAGCGCTAGCGTTTCACAGCCTGCGCCGTGCGCAGGGGTGCGGACACGCGTGCTCCCGTGGTGTAGACAGACACGGCGTCTGCCGTTTTTCTCCTCATGGCCTTGCAGTGGAAGCAGCTTTTAGCTTCTCGATCCGCCTCTTAGAGGAATCTGGGGTTTTCTCCCATGGAGCCAGATGTTCCCAGAAGTCCGGTCGACACCTCTGTCATCTCCGTCTTCTGAGTTTGTTTCCCATGTCAGCTTCTTTGTTTCATTTTGTTTTGGGACCACACCCGGCAGTGCTCAGGGGTGACTCCTGGCTCTGCACTCAGCATAACTCCTGACAGTGCTCAGGGGACCATATGGGATGCTGGGACTCGAACCCGGGTTGGCCTCGTGCAAGGCAAATGCCCTACCTGCTGTGCTATCACTCCAGCCCCAATATTATAAATTCATTTTTTGGGGGGGGGCTCCCAGGTGGTGGACAGGAGCTCTGGGGGCTTCTCCCAGCAGTGTTCAGCCGACCGGGGCCTGGAGAGGCAGAGCTGTTGGGCCCTGAGGTGCCAGCTCCACCAGCAGCACCATAGCAGTGTGGGGGCGGGGGGGCTCCAGGGCCATCCCCAGGGTGGTCCGGTTCATGCGGCTGGGTGGGGAGCCAGGGCTGTGGAGCTCAGTGGCCCTGCTAACGCTGCCGCCTCACCCCCAGCCCTAGGCAGCCCTGTCCTGGGCCTGAAGGAATGCACACGAGGCTCCGAAGTTTGGTGCCAGAACATAAAGACGGCAGCCGAGTGCGGGGCCGTGCAGCACTGCCTGCAGACCGTCTGGAACAAGCCCACGGTGGTGAGTGTCCCTGCACGTAGCCGGTTCCCTGGACCCCCGCTGGGCCCCGTGAGGGCCCCAGAACCTGGGTGGGCAGGGGTCCTGTTTGACACGGGCTCAGCTGCATTTCCCCGGGTCGCCCATGCTGGGGCGGCGCCCACACCCTCCGCTTTGGCCCCCCGGACACTCTGCAGGTCCCACTAAGGCTCTGCGTGGGCCGCTCCCACCCCAGGTCTGGGCATGGCACTGCTCTGTCCTTGCGCCCGCCCCAAGCTAGACTCTAGCTGCTGGGCCTTTGATTTCCCTCTATGATCACACCGCATTCTCCCGGGAGAGGAGGTTCAGAGCCGGGCTTCTAGCGCCCACGGAGGTCTTGGAGACAGCAAAGGTCAGGTGCATTGGCATGTGTGCTGACCCTCTCGGGCTGCCGAGCGCTGCTGACCGCCCTGGCAGGCACATTGCGCTGGGCGCCCCAGCCGGGGGATCTGAGGTCAGTCCCACAACACTGTTCTTGGGACAGCTTTTGAATTGGCCGGGAAACTGCTGCAGTGCTCAGAATTGCTTTCACATTTTGTTTTCTTTTTTTCCTTTTTCCAGTTTTTTTTTTGTGTGTGTGTGTTTGCCCAGGCCAGGCTGGGCACAGGTTCACTTCTGGTGGGGCCCAGGGGTGCTGGGAATCACACCGGGCAGGCCTGGTGCAAGGCAAGGGCCCCGCCCGCTGTACTCTCTCCCCAGCCCCTGCATCCAGGTTTAAAGTCCAGTGAGGACGTTTTCTAGGACAGTCTTGTGGATGCCTGCATCTCCCTTGCATGGCCCCGTGCCTGGCATTTGCCCGATGAGGCCCAGAGATTTCAGTTGGAGTCTCTGAACCCAGCAGGGGTCACAAAGCTTCTCAGACTCACGTGGACACGTTGTGTCTCCCCGGAGTGACCCCTGGGCACCAGCAGGTGTGGCCCCAAAGCAGAAACAGAACAGAGAAAAAATGCGGAGAGGAAACAGGCTCTGCAAGGAGCAAACTCGGAGCCACAGAACGGGAGGAAACTGCTCCCACAAGGCACCATCACGAGCCCAGCCTGGCATGGCCGGGCAGAGGGGGCAGGGTGGGCAGGGAAGCCTGAGCCCAGTCAGACCGGTCATTCCGCTCAGTCCCAGTGCCTGTCCCCGCACTCTGCCCTCCTGGCAGTGTCACGGTCACATGGGGCCGAATGTTACGCTCCAGAGAACACAGGTGTGACGCCAGTCTTCTGACAGGCTGGGCACCCAAGGCCCCGCCTGGCCCAGGCCCAGGGGAATTCTAGCTGGTTCTCGCTGCCCTTGGGAGGAGTGCCCATCCCGTGTCAACAAAATCTCAAGTGCCAAGGCCAGCCCTGGAAGCTGCGAGCGAGACCAGCACCCTCCCTGCTGTGTTACCACTTGGGCCCCCCTGCCAGCCTTTTTGCGTGCTTTAACGAGCATTACCTGACTGTCCAGGGAGAGCAGAGGCTGTAGCCCGATGCTCGGTCCTGCCGAGGCAGAGCAAGCATTTGCGTGGTGTCCCGGTGCCTCCCCGAGACTGGAGGCGCCGTGGCCGGCAAGTGAGCCCCGTTTCCGCTCTCGGCCCCGAATGTTGCACCCTCCAGATCCGGGTCTCAGTCCTCACTGTGTTTCCCTCTAGAAAGCACTTCCCTGCACCTTGTGCAAAGATGTCATCACGGCCGCGGACGACCTGCTGAAGGACAATAGCACCGAGGTGAGCCGCACGCATGGGACGGGGCTGGGCACAGTGGCCGCGTGGTCGCGCGCTCACACCTGAGCGACTAGAGAGGAAGTCGTTCAGGGGCAGTGTGGCCCGTCCCCACCGAGGTCTGCGCTCCCCACTCGTGCTTCAGACAGTCCTTCAGACTGTCCTCGGCCGCGGCCGTGCGGCACGGGGTGAGGCGTCAGCTCAGGTGGGCAGGATCTGACACCCGCTCCGCTGGGCCTCCTGCCCTTTGTCTCCCAGGTCTGATGAGCCCCAGCTGCCCGCCAGCACGGGTCACCCCTCTGCCCTCACCCCGGGGCTGCTGTGGGCCAGCGGGGCCCGTGCTTGGGGAAGAGCCTGCCCCACCTGACCCATCCCCTGTCCTCTCCAGCCGGAGCTCCTCTCGTACTTGGAGAAGGTCTGCGACTGGGTCAAGTCTGCCAGCTGCAAGGAGATGGTCGACACCTACTTCCCGGTCATCCTGGACATAATTAAAGGACAGATGGTGCGTGGCGGAGACGGCCCCGGACAGGCCGGGCCAGGTTGGGGGGTGGAGTGGATGGTTCTGGGCAGGGCCTTCTCAGCCGAGTCCTGCCCGCGGCTGCAGTGCTTAGGGAGGCAGAGGAGAGACGGACGCTCAGGCTCGGGGCTCGGGGACATAGCCCGGCCCATGCCACAGCGCTGACTTGGTCACTCGGTCAGATTTCTCGTTCCTTTTCATACCTGTGGTCGCATCATCGGGGGGCCCCCGGGGCTCTGTGGCTTCAGCTCTGAGGCCGCTGAGCTGTGGCCCGCATCTTCTCCTGAGCAGATTCTAGACCGGAGGAGGCTGGGTCAGAGCAAACCAGCGGCCGTGTTCGTGGGGGTCCAGGGGATCACAGGAAGGAAGAGGCGCTCAGAGGCCAAGAGGGCCTCCCCCGAGAGGACAGGCCACCCAGAGCCGTGCTGAGACCCCAGAGCAGCAGGGTGCTGGGGGGAAGGGGGCTCTGGCCGCCTTTCTCTGGGTACCCTGGTGTTGGGCTGTGAGGGGTCAGTGGAGACAGGCTTTGGGAGTGGGCGGGGCTTGAGCGGGACGTCCAGGAGCAGGTAAAGGCCGGTGTGTCTCCTGGCTTGAGTGGCCTGGGTGGGCTGCTTGCTAGACTTGGGTGGGGAGCTGCAGGCTGCAGGGCCCGTAGGAAGGGGCATGGGGCGCCCACTCACGAAGGCGTCCAGCTGACGTCTCCTTCTGCCCCCAGAGCAGCCCCGGGGAGGTGTGCTCCGCTCTCAACCTCTGCAAGTCTCTCCAGAAGCACCTGGCAGAGCTCAACCATCAGAAACAGCTGGAGTCCAATAAGATCCCGGAGCCAGAGCTGGACCTGGCTGAGGTGGTGGCGCCCTTCATGGCCAACATCCCCCTCCTCCTGTACCCCCAGGACGGCCCCCGCAGCAAGCCCCAGCCGAAGGTAAGGCGGGGCCTGGACCAAGACACGCACGCGGGGGGGGGGGGGGGGGGCGGTGCACGCGTGTGTGTGCGTGGCTGAGTTTGTGCGTGGTTTCGTGGGTGTGTGTGGGGGTACTTGTGCGTGTTATGTGGGGGGGGGTATGTGTGCACATGTATTCATTCTCGGTTGAATCTCACTCCTGGTTGACTCATTGCCTTGAGACGCTCATACCACGGATGATCTGAAAAGCCTGGAATATTTCGATCAGGGAAGATCATTCCCCTATTAAGTCTTAGTAAAATTAATGCCCGGTAGATGTGAAATCTGTTGATTTTCTAACTTGTGAAGACAGGAGGTCTGGTTTAGGGAGGTTTGGGACGTGGTGGTGAGGCCCGAGGCCAGTCCCTTGCCTCTGCCCAGGCGGGTGTGTCTCTGGCCAGAGCATCCTCTGCGGCCTGTGGTCCAGACTGTGTTGGGCAGAGTCCCACCAGTCCCCAGCATGGAGCGAGACTCCTGGGAATTGTCGGGAGTGAGCAGCTCTCATACCAGCCTCTCCTCTGCAGACCGAGGGCGACGTGTGCCAGGATTGTGTTCAGATGGTGACCGACATCCAGAATTCTGTCAGGACCAACTCAACCTTCGTGGAGGCCTTGGTGGACCACGCCAAGGAGCAGTGTGACCGCCTGGGCCCTGGCATGGCCGACATGGTGAGCCTTCTCCCCATCCGAGGATGTGCGGGTTGGGTTAGCAGTGCCTGGGCACACGAAGGGAGCAGAAAACTTCTTTTTTTTTTTTCTCTCTTCACCTGGATGCACCCAACTGCAGTCAGGCTCTTTGGGTGCCAAACTACAACAGTCAGAGCACCCATTACTTTGGTTTGTTCATTTTTGAGTGTATATGATACATTGGACCTTCCAATCTATGGTCTTTGAGAAGGAGATTGTTCAAATAGCTCCTTTCCCCACCCAGAAGAACAGCCAGACTACGTGGTGACATGGTGGTATGCAGGTACTTCCTGTGTGTGGCCCAAAAACCAAAACCAAAACCAAAACCAAAGTAGGGGGTTTAACATCTTTGAAGCATCTTTTTTTTTTTTTTAAAAGTGAAGCAAAGAGGGTGCTTTTTTTTTTTTTACCACACCCAGCAGTGCTCAGGGCTTACTCCTGGTGGTACTTGGGGGCTCATGTGAGATGATGGGATTTGAACCCAGGTCAAGGAAAATCCCTATCCACTGGACTGTCGATCTGATCTGCCAAGTAGTTCCTATTGAAACTTCTTTCAATTGTGGGGGGAGAGAGGAAGGGAGACTGGTGTGTTAGAGGCTCCCCCAGGGTGGACGCCAGCAAAGACACATGCAAGCCAGGTTTCTGCTGAGGGAGAGCGCGGCTCCCAGAGCGAGCCCGCTGAAAGGCCTTCCGATGCTGCTGTGTCCCGGTCCCCGGAAGGCTGTGGAGGGGTGAGTGTCGGTGTTGTTTCTGTGGAGACGCCCAGCCAGGATCAAGACGGGAGTGAGAGTAGGTCGGGTGAACACTCTCTGGCTTCTGTTGAGTTTAAGCCCCTCCACCGTGCCCAGGAATGTCTGGCTGGCTCTCAGAGCAGCCTCGACCGCCACAGGGACACTGCATGGTCACTGGCACCCAGAGGTGCCGCTGAGGGCAGCTGTGCCACCTTCGAGGGGTCGCCAGCGAAAGGAGATTGGACGCTTCTCCTAGAGCCTTGGAGAAACGTTTCACACCTCCCTGGATGCCTTCTCTGTAAGAAATAGAAGACCCGGTTGCCCTTTTTTCCCCGTGTCCTGCTAGAATGCTCATTGAAGCCCTTTGTGGTGGCCACCATTGCTGTCCCCTCACTGTCCTTCTCTCTGCAGTGCAAGAACTACATCAGCCAGTACTCGGAGATCGCCGTGCAGATGATGATGCACATGGTAGGTGCCGTGGTCCTCCGGGGTGTCGCCTCCCGCTCGCGATTCCTGGGAGACTGGGAGTCACACGGTGGTTTCTCACCCTTGGTCTAGTCCAGGGGCAGAGTAGCTTGCCAGGACCCGCAGACCTGCTCCTCTGTCATCCCCACTAAAGCCGCTTAGCCCTGACAGCTGCCCCGCTGGTGGCCAGGATGTGCTCTGGAGGCACACCAGGCCAGGCCTGGGATCCCCGCTTGCGGCGCGAGTTTGGAGCAGTAGAGCCTCCCGGGGCAGTGGGGCGGGGGGCGGGTTGGGGCTCCCTGCGGGAGGTGAGTGAGTTCGCCTGGCCAAGGCTTGCTTGCAGGGAACACCCTCCGTGGGGCTTGGGCACGCGCTGGCGCCTCCCTGATTGCAGTCGCAGGGTCGGGGGACTTTGGCAGGACAGAGGTCCCCGACCACCTGTGTCTTTGGGTTTGTTGTCTGTGCCGGGCTTTGGGCAGTTTCACCGGAACGTGGCGCCCCTAGTGCCTCAGGAGCAGAGTCTGGTCGCGAGGGCCACTGGCCTGCGAGCGTGGCCCTGCTCTGGCCGAGAAGCCATCTCGGGGCAGTGGGCATGAGGTCAGGGATTTTTGCAGCTTGCAGTGCTTGAAGGGTCACTTTCTGGGCAGAGGTCGGGGGTGCTCCTGGTGACCTGCAGGCCGGGCTCTGCCCGTGACATCGAGAACCAGCACCTGCCTGCAGTGTGGAAGGGACATGTGGAGTCGGCCCCTGGTGCCGGCAAGGCAGGAACTTGGGCTGTGAACCCTCCCTTTAAGAGGTGTTTTGGTTGGTTATTGGGGGGCCCGGGGGGCTGATGGGCAGTGTTTAGTTAGGGTCTACTCTTTGTTCCCTATTCTTTTTTGTGAATCACTGTGAGAAGTAGTTACACTGTTGCTCACGACTGGGTTTCAATCAGGCTGTGTTCCAGGGTCTGCTCCCTTGACTTAGAGCTTAGGGTTCCCTCCTGGCTGTGCTGGGGTGACCTCGCGTGCTGGGTCTGCAGCCCGGGCCTCTTGCATGCAGAGGATGTGCTCAGCCCCTCGGATAATATTTCTAATTCCTAAAGCCAGTTAATTTTTGTTTTGGTGCCATGCCCCGCGGTACTCACAGCTTACTCCTGGTTCTGCACCCAGGGATCACTCTGTCAGGGCTTAGGGGACCAGATGGGGTGCCAGGGATTGAACCTGGGTTGGCTGCATGCAAGGCACGAACCCTACTTCCTGTACTGTCTCTGTTCCCCCAAAAAAGTGACTTACAAAGACACACTCCTAGAGTAGGAGAAAGAAGCAGCAGTTGGTTGAGTTAAATGCTTTCTCGTAGCCAAAACATGTCTCTTATTATAGAAGTTATACTGCATGACAGTAAAAAAATGTACGGGCAATCTTTCTGAAATAAGAATGCGTGGTCTTGGGGGCCGGGGAGCTGACCTGGAGGACCACCAGAGCACATGCGTGCAGGGGACCCAGGTTCTGTGCCTCGCATCACAGGGATCACGAGTACATCCCCAGGGGTAGCTCAGAAACACGAAACAACCGCAAAAGATTGGCAGCCATTTAAGTCGGACTTCAAAGTCTGTGATTTACACTTTAAGTGTAGAAATATATTGTTATTAAATATTCCTGTAGGGAAGATTTTGAGAGTGCGTGGCGTTCATGGGCAAGATACACTGTATGTACCCAGCCTCCCCATGGCCAACCGTTGCCCTTCGCTTAGGGAGCACCATGGACATCCTTGCACCGAATAGCTGTGTGGACATCCCTGTCCCCCACCCCCTCTTGGTGTAGATGACCGGAACTGAAATGGGTGGGCAGCCTGCTCCGAGGACAGTGTCACGGAGGGGCAGTGAGTTTGGTGCAGTTTTGGCGCAGTGCACACCCACCTTTGGAGGCCCCTGCACCATAGGGGCACACCGGGGCTGCACCCCAAGGAGGCCAGCTCTTCTTAGGTGCTCATTGACGTGTCAGGGACCTGACGGTCACAGGGGCCGGGGCTGCTGCCAGGGCCCCTTTGTGTGCCAGTGGTAGGGACAGTTAGGTCAGCTAGGGGGTCTGGGATAGTGACAGCAGGTCTCTCTGCCCTGAACTGTGGGGGGTACTCACATGTGGTTAACCGCTTGGTACTTTAATTTTTCCTAACTGTTGTGTGCTTTCCTTTCTCCTCTTTCTGTCTCCGATTTCCTGTTTTTTTTTTTTTTGCCCCACAGCAGGATCAGGTATGTGACGGGAACTTGCTTGTGGTAGTGGTCTGTCTGCTGCTTCTCACTGTCCTTGGCTGCTCCCCCGTGACGCCATCTGGCTCTGACAGACACAAGGGGCAGTCACCAGCGTTAGCCTGTCGCCCGGCCGATGGCCACTGGCCATCCAGCCCATGAGGTCTTGGGGTTCTCCCCCCTTCATGGGGCCAGGAAACAAAGCAGCGCCCTGCGTGCTGGTGACTGTGCGGTGGTGGGGATGGTGGGTGGCCCCGGAGATGCCTCGGCCCTCCACAGTGGCCTGGTTCCTGGGCGGGATGGACGCCTTGTCTCTGTCAGGACTCAGCGCGCTGCATGCCTTAGTCCCGTGACTCCTAACCCAGAGACGCTTCTGCCGCATGAGCAAATGGAGCAAATGTTCTGGCTCGGACCCGGAGCCGCGGCTGAAAAATAACGCCCTGATGCATGCAGCCGCTGCCCCTTTGGCGGGGCTTTGGGATCCAGCAGGCTGGTGGCGCCAGCGAGAATCGAACCCCAGAGCACGTGGGGGCTGTGACCCCTCCCAGCACCGGCGCCTTCTTGCCAAGGACAGTCACGGGTGTTTAAACCTTGGCCGAAACCACCGGACATTCACCGTGGCTGCCTTGGTCAGGCTTCGGAGCAACCACACACTTGTCCTTTTTCTAAAAAGTTACACCCTGGACTCCATTCTGGTTGTGCCCCGCCCCGACCCCCATTTCTGGGCTCCCTGCATGCGCTGCTCTGGAGGTGCCTTCAGACGCCTTGTTTAGTGAACAAGACTGCCCTGTCGTAGCCTGGGGCTCTGGCGGTAGAAACCAGTCGAACCACGGGCGGGCGGGGCCAAATTCCCCGCGCTCCCAGGTTTGCTGGGGGGGGGGGGGGGGGGGCAGAAGCCACGTGGGTCCCGGGGTGTGTCCGGGGATGTCTTCTCTTGCTTAGACTGAGGTGCTCTCGGTGGTTTGGGGTCAGTGGGAACCTTGCGACTTGCTCTGACTCGTCATCCCAGGGGGCCGGGTTTCCCGGTAGCGTGTGTGTGTAGCGGGGAAAGTAGAGCGTGGTTTTCTGTGGAAAGCTAACATTTCCTGGAGGCATCGTTTGGTCCTTCCACTGATGCACAGCGTGGTTTCTTGTCTAACACGTTGGGGTTTCTGTCGGCTTAGGGGCGTAGCATAGCAGGCTCTGTACAGAAGGGGGTTTTCCTCCTGCCGCACCAACCCTCTCCCCTGAAACCGGGCTCCAGCGCGGACGGTTGTTTGGCCGTTGCCACGGGTGCGGGCGCCTGGCCCTGCCCTGGTGGGGTTAGCGGGCAGCGGTCCCATCTCTTCTCTCCTCCGGGCTCCGTGCAGCTTCCCGGGCCTCTGCCCTGCAGATCTGCTTCTGGAACCGAGACCCTTGACCTCTGCTCACGGGAGTCTTTGCTGGTCGGGGGCGTGGCTCTTGGCCTTGACCTTGGGATCCGGGTGCCCCCTCCCACCCTGCACCCCACCCCATGTCTAGAGAGGACCAGGGTGGGGAGCAGGCCCCCGACTGACTCTTTTTCCCTCTGTTCTCAGCAACCCAAGGAGATCTGTGCGTTGGTTGGGTTCTGTGATGAGGTGAAACAGGTGCCCATGCAGGCTCTGTTCCCCGCCAAGGTGATCTCAGAGGACGTCATCCCTGCCCTGGAGCTGGTGGAGCCCATTAAGGTACGTGGTGTCGCCGAGCAGTGGCGGCCAGGGCAGGGTGTGTGTGTGTGTGTGTGTGTGTGTGTGTGTGTGTGTGTGTGTGTGTGTGTGTGTATGCATGCCAGGGCGGGGGGGGGGTGTGTTATGTGGGGGGGTTGTGCACACAGACACGTATCCTGACCCATGCTCTTGTGTGTGTGTGTGTGTGTTTGTGTGTGTGTGTGTGCGCATGCTGACACGTATCCTAACGCCTCCTCAGCACATTCTTGTCTGTAAACCCCGGTTCCCGTTTTTCGGGCCCCCCGTTTCCATCAGTGCCTGCCTCTGCACTGGCCCTTCCCAGTGTGCTTTCTGTTGCCTCCTCCCCTCCGTGGCTACAGCGTGACGTTCATTCCCAGACACCCCTGCCACTCACATACTCCCTCGCTCCTTGGTCAGAGCCTTCGGGCGTGTTCCCAAGCACGCCTGGGTGCCAGTCTCATTTCCAGCACCTTCCTGTGGCAAAGGCCTCCATCTGTCACCATGTCATGCCGGGAGTCGAACCCAAGATGGTCACATGCAAGGCCAGTGCCCGGCCAGTTGCACCGTCTTTCCACCCCCCTTTTTGAAACTTGAACTGTGTCCACGCGCAGTCTCCTCGTGTTCACAGGCGCAGGCTCTCACCTGCTCCCTGCCCCACCCACTGGAGCCCACACCAGCCCTATGTGGCGAGAGGGGGAGAGACGTACACTGGGTCGAAGCGCCTCCCATTGTCTAAAGAACAACAGGGACTTGAAATCGAACCCAGAGCCAGCCGCTGTCGCGTGGACGGAGTCGGGAGCCCCTTCATGTGACAGCCCTGGCAGGTCTTCGGGGAGCAGGAGCAGGTGAGGCCCAGCATTCAGCCCTCTCTCTGCCTTCCCAACAGAAGGACGTCGTCCAGGCAAAAGCTGATGTTGTCTGCGAGGCCTGTGAGTATGTGGTGAAGGAGCTGACCAGCTGGATTGACAACAACAAGACTGAGGTGTGTACGTCTCAGGGGACGCTGCCCTCCTGGAGACCCCGCAGGACTGGGCCTGACCCTGCCTGTGCGGCCCTTTCCGGGGCTGCCCGGCCCGCGGCCTGCCCTGCTTGGGGGGGGGGCGGCGACGGTCTCTTCTTGTGGACTTGTTTCCCGGCCCTGCAGAGGTTTCAGAATCTCCCGAACCTGGCCCAGGGTCTGTCTCCTCAGGCCGTCTGCTCCCTTGCATTTCAGGAAGATATCATCCGGGACTTGGATGCGGTGTGTGCGAAGATGCCGGCGTCCATTGCCAAGCAGTGCCAGGAGGTGGTGGACTCGTACGGCAGGTCCATCCTGACGCTGCTGCTGCAGGAGGTGACCCCTGAGCTGGTGTGCTCCATGATCGGCCTCTGCGCCCCCCAGGGCCTGCCCGCGCTCTCTGGTGAGCCTGGGCGAGGGGTGAGGCTGGCGGGGGAGCCGTGGAGCCGAGGGGCTCCGCCCACACGAGCTGTGCCCCCCTCCCGGCGCAGTGCACGTGACGCAGGCCAAGCAGGCCAAGCAGGCCTCGGACGGCGGCTTCTGCGAGGTGTGCAAGAAGCTGGTCGGCTACTTGGACCAGAACCTGGAGAAGAACAGCACGAAGCAGCAGATCCTGGACGCCATGGAGAAGGGCTGCCACTTCCTGCCGGACCCCTACAAGGACGAGGTAGGCCCGGGGTCGGCGGGACTGCTGGACCCCTGGGTGGGGCAGAGGGGAGCCCTGGGGGAGCCTGCCCGCCGCCCTTTGGCCTTCCGTGGGCCCGCGTGAGCAGGCGTCCCCGTGTCTTTCCCAGTGTGACTCGTTCGTGACCCAGTACGAGCCTGTGCTGATCGAGATCCTGTTGGAGGTGATGGAGCCTTCCTACGTGTGCCTGGTGAGCACCGGGGACGCGCGGGACCCCCGGGAGGCTCCTCCAGCTGCGTGAACACCCCTGCCCCCCCGTGGGACCCCGCCCCTGGAGGGTTGTGGAGGTGCCGGCGGCTGATCTTCTCTAGTCCTCACGCTTGCTCGCCCCCGCCCCCCTCCACCTTGCAGAAAGTCGGCGCCTGCCCTGCGGCACACAAGCCCCTCTTGGGCACGGAGAAGTGTGTGTGGGGCCCCAGCTTCTGGTGCCAGAACATGGAGTCCGCAGCTCTGTGCAACGTGAGTCGGGCGGTGGTGCGGGAGGGGGTTCCGGGGCCCTCGGAACAAGCGCTTAGCCCTGCTTGTCTCCTGTTCCGTTCCCGACACACCTCCACCCCGTCCCCTGTGTCCTGGTGAGAACCCCGCCAGCATCTCCCAGGGCTCACTGCGGTCTTACCAGCCCTGCGAGTTGGCACCTGCTGGGCGCTGGTCGGTGGTGGCCGCCTGTCTCGTGCTTGGTGCAGCTGGTTTTCTTATGGGGCTTCGTGCCCAGTGGGCCTGCGGGGTCATGGAGGGTGAGTGACCTCAGCTCGCCACCAAGGCCAGGGCGAGTTCTGTCCACCGCGCCCCTGCCCCCCCGGCACACTTGGTGTTGGCGGGGCCTACGGATACCCCTCCTCGGGCTGAGTGCTCAGGCTTTGAGCGGTCAGTGCTGCTCTGGGCAGGGCCCTGGCAGCCCCCCAATCCAGGACCCCAACCTTCCGGCTTCGGGTTGTTTCATTTTGGGGACCACCACAGTGGTGGGTGCCCGGGAACTACTCCTCGCTCAGTGCTCAGGGCTTGCCCCCCGGCCACATGTTGGGGATGGAGCCTGAACTCCACGAGCACTGCCCCTCAGGGTGCTGGCGTCCAGCCAACTCCTTGGCCGTGACAGCACGTAGGCAGGACGAGGTTGTTTTTGGGAAACTAAGGCCGGATTCCTCTCCCCTGCCAGGCTGTTGAGCATTGCAGGCGCCACGTGTGGAACTAGGATGGCTCCACCCAGAGAAGCTGCCGCGTCTTTTCCTACTGGTGTGTCTACGGAACAGACACACAGACCTGTTGACTTTGTTATAAGAATTAGGACCGTCTCTCGCTCCACCCTCATCCCTTCTGTGGCATCGCTGTCCTCGGGCACCCAGCCTGGCGCTGACACGGCTGCTTCAGTCCTTCCCTCTCCGGACCTGCCTGCCCCTGCATGGCGAGGAGCAGAGAGGGGCCAGAGCTGCGTGACGGGCGGTGGGCACCTCCTGAGGGGCTCGGCTCCCCAATCCTCCACCCACCCCGGGAGGGCCTGCCCTTCCCCCACACGAGCCACACAGGCAGGGTGATGGGCAGGGCGAGAAGCCAGGCAGTGGTGTTGGAGCAGTGCGGTCCCCATTGGGGGGGTGCCTGGGGGCCCTGCCCGCCAGCATTCCCAGGGATGCCTTGTCTGGGGCTCTGGGGGTGGGGGCGGGGAGAGCCGCATGGGGCCTGCTCCTTGGGAGGCCCCGTGCCCTGTTGTGTGATCGTGGACGGCAGTGACGCCGCCTGCCTGCTCTGGCATCCGCCACGACCCTGCCCATGCCTCTGCACTGTTGTCCCAGGCGTACGGACCCCAGACCCCGGCCCCTGACCCCTCTCCCAGCCCTGCCCCCCCTTCCTCGATGCTCTGTGTGACCTTGCCTTTCAGCAGCCGTGGGTGGGTGGGCGGGGGGCGCTGCCTGCTGCTTGGCCCCCTCCTGCACCCTCCCTGGTCCCCCGGAGCCGGCGAGATGTACAGTTGCTAGTTAATGGACTAAACAGTTTGTTTCCGCTATAAAGTCTCTGTGATCTAACAATAAAGTCCTGTCGACCAGGCCCGAGTCCGAGTGTTTCTGTGACGTGTCCCGAGTGCCCTACATGTAGGACAGCAAGGGAGTGAGAGGCACCCCCCCCCCATCTCCACACCCACCCGCCACCACGGAAGAGCCAGACAGCGGGCCGGGTCCTTGTGAGGTGCTTTTCTTTTTGAAATTCAGACCATTCCAGAAACATTCGGTGATAACAGTTCAGCAGAACCAAGGGGGGCTATCGAAGGACTAACTGAAATCGCGGAGGGGGGATACACGAACACGCTACAGTCGAGACCGGGGGGCAGTCTGTCCTGTGAGCCGCGGGGAAGGGGCTGGGAGCGTGTCCCATGGGGCGAGGACGGCGTGGCGGCCCCCACGGAGCTCCCGCGCGGTGTGGACAGACGGGCTCTGCGTGGCCCCCGTCAGGACGGAACCAGCGGTCGGCACTCGGGGGCCCCCGGTGAGCTTCCTTCCCTGTCCTTAGACACTGAACATTTTTGATTTTCTTAAAAAAATAACAGATTTTCTGAAGGTAGAGATCAGCTGCTGCACGAGCGTCTGGCCGGGGGCAGCTGCGCGGCAGGTGTGGGGTCCCTGGGCCCCGGCCCCCGCAGCTACAGCTCCGTGATCTCCAGGGGGCTCTCCATGATCACGTCCCGGAGCTTGTGCAGGGGCGTGGATTTGGCCGACTCCGTGCGGGCGTTACGCTCCAGGGCGCTGGCCTCGGCCGCCGTCAGCGTCTCCAGCGAGCGGCCCAGGCCCCTCTGGTCGTCCTCAGGCAGGCTGTTGAGGTCGGTGGCCAGCAGCGTGCCCGTGCTGCCATGCCCCAGCTGGATCCCGTCGGGCCCCTTGAGCTCCGTGGGCGGCTTGTGGCGGAAGCGCAGGCTGCCCTGGCCGGGGCTGCGCTCCCCCGCGTCCTCGTCCAGCTCCGTCTGGATCAGCTGCAAGAGGCCGGGACCCGGGGCTGAGGGCTGAGGGCGAGCTGCTGGGGGCCTGGTTCCTCCCGCCACGCTCACCAGCGCTGCAGAGGGGGGCCGTGGACGCACCGTGGACGCCTGCCCTCAGGAGTGGGGGCAGCTGGGAGAGCTCTGTGTGCATCTGCTTTGGTCTGTAAAGGGTCTGGCGTGGAGGGAGGGGTCCAGGTTGGACGGTCTCAGGCGGGGGCAGTGCCAGCTGCAGCCAGTGGAGCCAGCCATGGAGCTGTGTGTACAGCTGGTAGAGGCTCAATTTGAAGCCTGGGTTCTTTTTTGAATGGGGGTGGGGGTTGGGGGCCACACATGACTTCTGGGGCTATTCCTGACTCTGCTCTGGGTGGCTCCTGGCAGTGCCCAGCAGGCCAGTGAGGCCAGTGCTGGCAATCAACTGGGGTCGACCATAGGCTGACTAAATGCCTATGCCCTGCACTGTTTATTTGGCCCTAAAGGTCTGAATTATTTTGTGTATGCACACGTGCACGCGTGTGTGTGTATAAGTATAAAAGTGTGTGAGGCCCTAAGCCCAGGGTCTCACACACGGTCACGGTCCTCCCGTTCATCAATTTCCTCGAATGGGCCCAATAACGTCTCCATCGTGAGACTTGTTACTGTGTTTGGCATATCGAATACATCACGGGGAGCGTGCCAGGCTCTGCCGTGCGGGCGAGATACTCTCAGTGGCTTGCCGGGCTCTCCGAGACGGGTGGAGGAATCGAACCCGGCTTGGCCGGGCTGGTTGCGCGCAAGGCAAACGCGCCCCACCGCTGTGCTATCGCTCCAGCCCCTTTTAAAACTAATAAAATTTTACGTAAACTGGGGAGGGAGGTGTTTCGACTGCCACCTGGCTGTGCTCAAGGATCACTCCTTGGTGGAAGATCTGTGAGGTGGGACATCAGAGGAGAGTCAACCACATGCCAGGCCTTCCCTCCTGAATGATCTTGTCTCTGACCCTAAAGCCTAACTTTGTAAATCTTTATCATTAAAATCTGTGTTGGGACCAACACAGATCAATAAAATCTGTGTTGTTTCCAATAAATAAAATCTGTGTTGTTCCCCCCTCTGGCTGCAGAGCCCAGAGACCCCCAGACAGGAGCGGGTGGAAATGAGAGAAAGCACCCCCAGAGCTGGGGCACAGCACACAGCCCGCCCGGCTACCTCAGACATGGAGGAATGGCAAGAGGAGGCTTTTTGTACCATCCGCTGTGCAAAGAGCTTTTTGAGCCGCAGGTAATCCTCCAGGACCACCTTCAGCAGCGAGCCCTGGGGGACGGAGAGGGTTAAGACCCCACCAGGGCCCTCCCTGCCTGCCCCCCTCCTCATTCACTTCCCTTGGAGGTGAAAGCAGGTGAGTGGTCCTAGAGGCTCCCGCCCCCCCCCCCAAGCCTTGGCAGTTGGAGTAGGTCCCTAGACTGGTCAGTGGCCATGGGGGGTGGTACACAGAAGCCGGGACTCACCTTGATGGGCCCTTCCCGGATGATCTGGCCTAGCTTGGCAATGTTGTCGTACTCCTGGATGGCTGCCCGCAGGTACCGGTCATCATCAGGCTTCACCGCTGCAGGCTCACGGCCAAAAGTTCCCTGGGGAAAGGGGCCGTGAGATGGAGCAGGGGTGCAGAGCAGAGGTGGCACGTCTGTACACATCTGTGCACACCTGTTCATGCACACACAAGCGTGCATGTGCATATATGCGTGTACACACGCACGTGCACACGCTTGTACACGTGAACATGCCCGTGTGCACACAAGCATACACACACACACACACACACACACACACACAGAACCCAGCCCTCGGCGAGTTAGTGGATATGCCCTGCCGCCCCCAGCCCACCGGCGCTGCCCAGCCTCACGTGGGTTCGGGTCGGGCTGTTCCACAGGTCTGCGATCTCACTCAGGTTCTCCGGCAGGTCGTCCTCGTGCTCGGCCTGCGCAGCCAGCTCCAGGTTCCGGCAGAAGGGGTCCAGCCACACGGGGTTGGCCCTGCCAGGGAGTGGCCAGTAGGTTGGGCCAAGAAGGCAGGCCTAAGCCCCGCTCACGCCAACACCCGGGCCCACAGTACTGCTCTCACAGAACTGGGGTGCCGAGAGGGCTTGCGAGCGCTCCCTGCAGCCCTAGCACACCCGCAGGCCTCAGCTCTGGCGCCCAAGGTTGGCCCTGCACCTGGTGCCCCGTCTGTGCTCCCTGAAACTTGGGGTGCCCATAGCACATTTCTGAGGCTGCAAGAAGAGAGACGGCCAGCCACCAGGGGGCGCCACACCCCACTCACCCACTCACCCGTCAAAGGAATACTTGTTGGTGTTGGGCATGTCCATGATGTCGATAAAGCCGCGATTCCCTGCAGGGAGAAGGCCCGGTGGCGCGAGGGGCACCTCTGCTGGGGGGACAGCACGGGGAGTCCTCCAGGCCTGCCCCACATCCCTGCCCCACTCACCTGCAGAGCCGGCCACGATGGCCTTGAGTTTCCTCTTGTGTCTGGAAAGAAGCAGAGAGGCGGGGTGAGGGGGAACGGCTGAGGTGTCCAGGACGAGGGCCCTGCCCAGCGCCGCGTCCCCCCACAGCTCACTCACACGGTCCTGTAGTACCAGTTCATAAGGATGAAGAGCATGGCCGCCAGGAAGAGGAGGATGGCCAGGATGATGATCGCCATCTGGGGGGGAATGGGGAGCAGGCGTGAGCAGGCGCGGGTGCCCCGGGGCAGAGGGGCCGGGCCGCTGGGTACCTGCAGCACGGACATGTCCTCGGGCAGCCGCACGGAGATGGCAGGCTGCACGTCCAGGACGTTGTAGTTCCGGAAGAGGTTCCGCAGCTGTTCCTTGTTCTCGTCGATCATCTGGATGACCCTGAGTGGGGGCAGGGCCTTCAGTGCCCGCCTCGGTCATCCCCGCCCGCTCAGGCCAGTCTGCCCAGTTCCTGCCCAGGAGAGCAGTGTGGACATGCCCCCTAAAGAGCACCCCTCATGCAGGGCCACCTCCCTGCATCCTGCTCAGACCCCACTGCACAGGCAGGAGCACCGTGCTCTGGGCACCCTCCCCGCCCTGCCCACCTCCGCAGGCCCCCAGAGGGGGGCCACCAGGAGCTGCCCCACCCCAACTCCAGGGCGGGCGTCGGGCCACGGACCCCCACCCACCGGTCCACGTCCAGGATGCGGTTGGTGTCGCGGTTGACCACGTGGATGAGCAGCTCGGTCTGCGCAAAGTTGACCCGACCCTTCTTGTCCACGTGGAACTGGGGAGAAGGGACCAGATGCAGGGGTGGGGGGGCTGGAGGGGGCGGGCCTCGCCAGAGCCCTCCTCCTCACCCCCTACACTCCATCACGGCCTCGGTCCTCATGGACCAGGCACCATCTCACAGAGGAGGACGTGGGCCAGAGGGCTGGAAGGATGCCCCCCGGGCCCCGGCTGGGCCATGGCGTGTGCCTACGCCCTCTCTCAAGCCCCACTCTCTGCCCCTCCTTTTACTTTTTCCTTTTTATAAAGGTGAAGTGGGCCATACCCAGTGGTGCTCAGGGATCACTTCCAGGCAGAACTTGGGGGACCATATAGGGTGCTGAGGATCAAATCCAGGTTAGCTACATTCAAGGCTGGAGCCCTCCCCACGGTACCATCACCCCAGCCCTCTGCCTTGCCTTTAAAAAAGTATTCTGGTTCTGGGGCCATACTTTTTTTGGGGGGGGAGGGGGGTTGCACCTGGTGATGCTCAGGGGTTACTCCTGGCTCTGCACTCAGGAATTACTCCTGGAGGTGCTCAGGGTTTCATATGGGATCCTGGGGATCGAACCCAGGTCAGCCGCATGCAAGGCAAATGCCCTTCCCTCTGTACTATTGCTCCGGCCCCCACATCCTGGTTCTTGGGCATCCTGGCGTGGGGTCCACATGGAGCCTGGGAGGGAGCTTGGCTCCCTGGGCCATCTCCAGCTGCCCTGCCCGGCTCCTGGCCGACCGCCTCCTCCCGCCAGCGCCCGCAGCACCTGCACGTCGTCTGTGTTGACGATGGCCCCGGTGATGTTGGACAGTAGGCGGATGAACTCCTCCTCAAATCCCCGCACGCGGTCG